TAGACGAACGAAGTCTAAATTTAACGATATTGCAATAAGCCTTAACCTGATGGTATAGACGAACGAAGTCTAATCTAATGGTATTGGAATAAGCCTTAACCTAATGGTAAAGGCGAACAAAGTCTAAATCTAATGGTATTGGAATACGCCTTAACCTAATGATATAGGCGAACGAAATATAAATCTAATAATATTGGTGAAGGAAGCATAAATATAATGGGAGAGGTGAAAAAAACCTTACGTTTTGTGTACTGTTGTTTGTCTTTTGTTTGTTTTTTGTTTGTTTTTGCCATGACATTGTCAGTTTGCTTTCGCTTGTGAATTTGAATATCCCTTTGGTATCTTTTGCCTTTCTTTTTTAATTTAATGGAATTGGTAGAAAGAAGCCTTACCCTTATGGAATAGGTGATCGAAGTCTTGATCAAATGGTATTGAAATAAGGCATAATCTAATAGTTTTGGTAGAAAGAAGCCTAAATATAATGGTATTGGTGAAATGAGCCTTAATTTAATTGTATTGGTGAAAAAGCCTTAATCTTTTGATATTGGTGAAAGAAGTCTAAATCTAATGGTATTGGTGAAAAAGCCTCAATCTAACGGTATTTGTAGAAAAAAGCTAATTCTAATGGTATTGGTGAAAAGGCCTTAATCTAATGGTATTGGTAAAAAGAAGCCAAACTCTAATGTTATTAGTGAAAGAATTCTAAATCTACTGATATTGGCAAAAAAGCTTACAATCTAATGGTATTGGTAGAAATAAGTCTAACTCTAATGGCATTGTAAGAAATCTTAAATCTAACGGTACTGGAGAAAGTAGCTTAACTCTAATGGTTTTGGTGAACAGACAGGCAAGATACCAAAGGGACATTCAAACTCTTAAGTTGAGAATAAACTGGCAACGCCATGGTTAAAAAAGAAAAAGACAAATTTCAGGGCCTTTTATAGCTGACAATGCGGTATGGGCTTTGCTCATTGTTTAAGGCCTTACGGTGACCTATAGTTGTTAATTTCTGTGTCATTGGTCTCTTGTGGAGAGTTGTCTCATTGGTAATCATACCACATCTTATTTTTATATAAACAATAGTACACAAAACACAACATAGAAAACAAATGACTGAGCAACACGAGCTACACCAAAACCTGGGGGTGGGGGTGGGGGGGATGATCTCAGGTGCTCATGTTAGTACATACCCGGTAATAAGTCTAGTACGGTAGGTCACATTCGGGTCTCTTGTGGAAAGTTGTCTCATTCGCATTCATACCACATCTTCTTATTTTTATAAATCTAATTGTATTGGTAAAAAAAAAGTCCAAATCTAATGGTGTTGATAGAAAGAGACCCAAGTCTAATGGTATTGATAGAAAGAATGCTAATTCTAATGGTATTGGTAGAAAGAAGCCTAAATCTTATGGTATTGGTAGAAAGAAGCCTAAATCTTATGGTATTGGTAGAAAGAAGCCTAAATCTATTGGTAGTCACGTTCAGTAAATTATAATGGGAACATTAAATCAAATGCTTCATTTTGGGAGAGCACAACGCTCTCTGAACGTTATAGATCCATAAGAAAAAACTTGTTAACTTTCTCTTTTATGGGTTTAATTAAATCTTGTTCTGAATTTGCATGCACTATTTGCAACTGGAAGTAAAGCACCCCAATCAACCAATCAATCAAGTAAACAGGACCATTGTCATCTCATGAAATTCAACAAACCATTGCAAAATGATTTAAACCGATAAGAACATGGCTTAATGATAAAACAGACCAAGATTGACTGGTTGATTTTTTTTTTGGTTATTCAGGATCAAATAAATCCAATAGGTAGGTTAGGCAAAGTAGCTGGACTGGTTTAAAGAGCGGGAAATTCGACAGCTACTAGAAAAAGAGGGTATGATGAATAGGGACAAGGATTGCAATGGAACGGGTTAAGAGAAAATTTCTAACAATACCATTAGATTCAGACTTATTTCACCAATAACATTAGAGCAAGGCTTTTTTCACCAATACCATTAGTTGTTAACTTCTATTTCATTTGGTCTCTGGTGAATAGTTGTCTCATTTGCAATCATACCACATCTTCTTATTTGTATCTGTTACGTACAATATTTTCTCTACACGAGACATTGGCTTTAACGTCTCCGACTGATCGTAACTGTATATTTATACATCCCGCACATACAAGCGTTCGCCCCTCTGAAGCATGTGTTTTACTGTCGGATGGAAAAGGCACATGATACACAAGTAAAACAATACACTGCAAACTATTAAAACAAAAATTAATATTTGAACTGACAGTAAATCAATACATGTGATGTTACTTTTAGATATAATGGCCTAAAATATAGGTCTTTCCTATCACCCCTTTGTCCTATAGACGTGCTGTTAATAGATTTAAGAGGCGACCACATTTCTGACATCAACATCATAAAACATCAATAAATAGTAGAAACCAATGGACAGTATAGACAAAGGAGCTATAGTATTATTACTATTGAGACAATGTCTTTATCAGGCTGCCAAGCAATCTAAATATAAGGATATAAGTATAAATGGGTTTAAACTTAATTTTCTCAAAAAACTTCCAAGTAAGGAGGTTCAATTTTACTCTCATATTATAATTAAGTTTAAGCAAAGAATATCATACCCATGTAACCATTACTAAAAAGTCATGTATTTTTCTCCAGCTCAGGAAAATTTTTCACATCTAATAATTTTAGAATTGCATTATTCGTATTGAAGAATTGGATTTTTATTATGGCTTATCACATTGAATTTTTTGGCACAGTCATTCTATAAAATTTGCGTAATGATTTGAAAGTAGAACGCATGCCATTATTGTTATAAATCTGATCATTTGATAACAACTAATAGCAATTTACTTAATGTATTGATCACTTATTGGTTTGAATGGGCAGTTAAAGTATATTAAAGAGCGATTATTATAGTAACAATGTCAGGTTAATTACAACAGTATAGAAACCAGCTATTAACAATCTATTATTGGATTCAAGACGACCATTGCTGCTCTCCACTAATAGCTATTAAATTGCTATTCCTGGTCAGAGGAGTATCATTACAAGCATTTTAATTGGACTGCCACAGTTCGGACTTGTTGGCTAAAGAGTTTGGCTAGAATTCTACATATTATAATTATTAAAGGTAAAACGTCATATAAAAACACATGTAAAGTTTGAATAGGAAGCAATCATTTGCAACTGACAATGACGGGTGTCACCAGTAAAGCAAGATCTGCTTAGCCTTACCTGTGATAATCCCCAGTTTGTGTTTGGGTTCGTGTTACTCATACATATGTTTTGTGAACTTGTTTGTCTTTCGTTATTTGCCATGGTATTCAGTTTCTCTTCGACTTCTGAGTTTTGAATGTCCCTTTGATATCTTCCGATTCTTATTTATAATTAGTTGCTTAATGTTGTATATTTTGTAAGGGTGCGAACCGTTTTGTAATTGGGGAAATGTTTGACTAACCGTGCAGTTATAACAAAAGTGTACAGTAATATTAATAATCATTTTATTATGACATTCGCTGACATTTCCCTGACCTCCGAGTTTTTTTTGTTGTCAGTGATCGTCAATGGCATTCGGTCCCATTTCCCTCTCTAACCGCCAAGTGTTAATTTTTGCCGGATATCATCAATCCTTAGATTTCAATGTAATGTGAATGTAGATGGTATCTTGCCTTTATATGTTAATTGTTTTTATTTTGTATTTGTTCCTAATCTGTTTGTCTGTGAGTGCCTCTTTGGTCGTAATTGCTAATGCACACAGATATTTAACTGGAAAGCTTTTATTAGTGGGTCAAATAAATCGATAGATATCTTGAAAAAACAACAGCAAATATTAACCCGTGTAAATAAATTGCATCAGATGATTAAAGTTTAACGAGTTCAATATCCAATTTCTTTGCACTTTTGAATGCATGGAAATAGTGGTAAACAATTTTGAAAAATAATATAAAGAGATTTTCGTACAAATAGAGCTTTTCAATCATCAAGTAAAGGAAATCGAAACTACTTCGTAGTTAATTAACAAGAAACACGTTTTTATAAGCCAACGATCTGTAACTATAGCACGAATTGCCATGAGAACCAAACAAGATAAAATAAATCTGCATGAATCTAACATATTTAAAATGTCATTTTTTTTAAACCTGAAAATGACTTTTTATAAGATTTATAATACCATCAAATTCAGCATTCAGATATAGTACACCATCAATCTCAGCATTCAAATATAATGCACCAATCAAACTCAGCATTCAGATATAGTGCATCAATCAAACTCAGCATTCAGATAAAGTACACCATCAAACTCAGCATTCAGATATAGTGCACCAATCAAACTCAGCATACAGATAAAGAACACCATCAAACTCAGCATTCAGATATAGTGCACCAATCAAACTCAGCTTTCAGATATAGTGCACCAATCAAACTCAGCATACAGATATAGTGCACCAATCAAACTCAGCGGGTACTTAAGAATACAATGTAATTAGCCATAATAATAGATTTTCACTTTTATTTCTATTATCATCTTCAGATATAGTACACCATTAAACTAAGCATTCAGATAGGTTTTTTTTACATAAATCATGCCGTTAGTTTTCTCGTTTGAATTGTTTTACATCTGTTATTTCGGGGCCTTTTATAGCTGACTATGCGATATGGGTTTAGCTCATTGTTGAAGGCCGTACGGTGACCTATAGTTGTTAACTTCTATGTCATTTGGTCTCTGGTGGAAAGCTGTCTCATTGGCAACTATGCCATATCTTCTTATTTTTATATACACTATCATACTCAGCATTCAGATATAGTGCACCAATCAAACTTGACACGTCGGTAAATTACAACAACAATGTCGAAATTTCTGTATCCTAATCGCTAAAAGAATGCCGATATCGTAGGCTTCAAACGTGGAATATCAATAAATTTTACATAATACTGGGCACGCCATAAATGTCCACATAAAAGTAAGTACTTACCAGGCAGGTCAACTGGAATCGGACATCTCATTGATATGGTAGAATTAGCTAAGGCAGCATGCCAACATATCAGTTCATCAAACTCCGAATTACAGTATACCTCACCTGAAAGTACAATGAAATTCGCTATACTTCAGCAATATAAATGAAAATTTCAATGTCAAATTTATGTCAAATTTATTTTTAGTCTTTTCATATCACCAACCATTAAAAATATAAAGTCACAACACCGATCATTATCTCCTCTCACCTGATGCTTTCTAATTTTACACAATGATACAACATAAAAGGTTTAATTATTTTTTAAACCAGCTAACTATGCTATATTTCTAACATTTTGTTTTCTGTCAATACCTAAAACATTTTGTTTGCTCACGTAACGGACAGTCAATGCAGGTCCTCAGATATATACTTTTTTAACCCAGAAGCATCAACGCAGTTCTCAAACATATTATTGATAGCCTTAGTAACGACTATAGCATAGCATAATTGTAAAAGAAATAGTTTCGTACCAGTAACGGACATGTTAGCGCTGTTCTCATAAATATTATGTTAGTCTCAGTAGCAGTCATGTCACCGCGGTTCTCAGAAATGCATCGGTAGTGTCAGTAAAGGACATATCACAGAGGTTCTCAGAAATATAATGTAAGTCGCAAAAGTGGTCGTTATGTCACAACTGTTCTCAGAATTTCGTTGGTAGCCGTAGTAAATGATAAGCCAGCGCAGGCACTAGACACAAAGTCACAGTAGTTTGCAAAGTATTTCTGGGACAGATTTTTATCAATCCTATCTGAGCATTTCTGTTTTTACCCAAACCGCTAGAGATCAGCAACACAATTAATCAAATTATGATTCATATCGTACAACTTCATTGATTTTGTTCAATAAATCATAAAGTGAAGAAATATTTAGAGATAATATCATTATTTAGTGGAGGATCTGTCGAAATATAATTACTGTAGATCGTGTAATTAAACATAGATAGGATATAGAGGCAAACATCGAGCATTGTGTCGCAGGGTCTTCAGTGTGGGATCGTCAACAACTGACGGCTAAAACATTTACGTTATAATAATGAATGAAAAGGTCTCTCGTGCACTTGAAGCACTTACTATTCACTAAAAGAATTACCATGTGTTTACAAAACCAAAACTTTATTATTGTTAGTATTTATTTTATATTGCAGTTGCACTGTTTTGTTCTTCGTGACATATTGTTTGATATTCTTTTTTCCTTCTAATAAGAGTTGTGTTTTTGATGGTATTGTGGTTTTTGTGCTTTCATAATTTACTCTCTTTCTTTTGCTGTTTGTTTTGTTATCATGACATTGTGTGAATTTCATTTGTCGTTGACATAATTTCTTTTCAATAAATTATTTATGCTTTAGAATATAAAGCCTGATATTTAGTTTTGAATGAATAATAACTTACAGGATAAAGCCAGATAAGAACATAGCAATCTACATATAAATTTACAATTAAGTTTAACAAAAGGTGGTAATGGTATGCGTTAAATTATTTCAGAACGACAACTTCAGTTTTGACTTTTAATTTTGTAAGTATTTTGGATTTTTCGTAACAATCCTTTTTTTATGAATTTTCCATTTTTAGTCCTCTATAAAAGTAAGGAGACGAAGTACGAATGTCAATGAGACAACTATCCACTAAAAGACCAAAAGTACAAATATTTTCCCAGACTAATTTTAAAAGTATCAATCAGTACACCTCAATAACCGAATTAGACTATTTACCGGATTTGTAATAACATAAGCAACACGATTGGTGCCACATGTGAAGCAGGATCTGCTTACCTTTCCGGAGCACCTGAGATCACCCCAGTTTTAGGTGGGGTTCGTGTTGCTGAGTCTTTAGTTTTCTATGTTGTGTCATCTGTACTATTATTTGTCTGTTTGTCTTTTTATTTTTGGCCATGGCGTTGTCAGTTTGTTTTCGATCTATGAGTTTGACTGTCCCTCTGGTATCTTTCGTCCCTCTTCTCAAATTGATTTATTGGAATGAAGTCAGAAGCAACCGAAGTTAAGCAGGTATTGACCTTATGCAAAGCCAAGAAATGAATATCGACAGGATGCAATTTATTCAAAGGACCTTTGCGATAAAATCATACAAACACCCCCTATTCGTCTTACAAAACATACCAAATAAAGTTGCATATTTTACAGTTACAGATGGATACTTAGACAAAATTACAAAATATCATTTATGATGCCATGATATTTGTAACTTCTAGGTAAATTTCAAATTAATTTGAATTTTTGTCAATGACCTTAATTTTGTAACTTTTGCAATTCCAAAAACAACAACAACAAAATTATCAAAAAAAAAAATCAAAAAAAAATGAAAGAACTGAAATGTTGATATTGACAAACTATTGGCGACTATGTTCCGGAAAACACACGAGATATATGGCTTCTGCTTTATCTAAAACGCGGGAAAATATCAGTACTTGTCACAAATCGTGTCAAATAATGTGATTGAATGTATCCATTTCCGTCAAGAGAAAGGAAATAATCAAATGAAACTTTAAAACGTTTGTCTAAACACAATCTTCTCAAAGGAACTCATGTTGTTTGTCACAATAATCATGTATATTTCTCCTTAACTATATCAAAGCAGTTGCATTTTTTGTTTGATAGTAGTTTAAGTGTAAAATTTTATGGATTTAAATCAATTCTAAAGTGCTCACGCACTTGTTGTTTTCTTCAAACATAGTGGGTTCAGTTTAGTAATAGTGAATGGAGTTTATTCTATTTGAAGTTGGGAAAATGGAAAAAAATTATGTGTTTTATTTACTTCAGCAAAGCAATGAGTTTATTTGTTATATTTAAAAATAGTAATGAATAATCATAATCATAATAATGATTATGGTCCATTGAATAGATTTTTTTTTTATAGTTTGCTGCATTTTTTGAGATGTTGCACCAGTTGTCAATGAATGAGATGATGTGCCTGCCATTAACCAACGTAACCAAATACAAAATGTGCCTGCCATTAACCAAAGTCACCAAATACATAATGAACCTGCCATTAACCAACGTAACCAAATACATAATGAACCTGCCATTAACCAACGTAACCAAATACATAATGCACCTGCCATTAACCAAAGTAACCAAATACATAATGTACCTGCCATTAACCAAAGTAACCAAATACATGATGTACCTGCCATTAACCAAAGTCACCAATACATAATGTACCTGCCATTAACCAAAGTAACTAAATACATAATGTACCTGCCATTAACAAATTCACCAAATACATAATGCACCTGCCATTAACCAAATTAACCAAATACATAATGTACCTGCAATTAACCAAAGTAACCAAATACATAATGTACTTTCCATTAACCAAAGTAACCAAATACATAATGTACCTGCCATTAACAAATTCACCAAATACATAATGCACCTGCCATTAACCAAAGTAACCAAATAATTAATGTACCTGCCATTAACCAACGTAACCAAATACATACTGTACCTGCCATTAACCAACTTAACCAAATACATAATGTACCTGCCATTAACCAAAGTAACCAAATACATAATGTACCTGCCATTAACCAGCGTAACCAAATACTTAATGTACCTGCAATTAACCAACGTTACCAAATACATAATGTACTTGCCATTAACCAAAGTCACCAAATACATAATGTACCTGCCATTAACCAAAGTAACCAAATACATAATGTACCTGCCATTAACCAAAGTCACCAAATAATTAATGTACCTGCCATTAACCAAAGTCACCAAATGCCTAATGTACCTGCCATTAACCAAAGTAACCAAATACATAATGTACCTGCCATTAACCAAAGTCACCAAATACATAATGTACCTGCCATTAACCAAAGTCACCAAATACATAATGTACCTGCCATTAACCAAAGTCACCAAATACATAATGTTACTGTCATTAACCAAAGTAACCAAATACATAATGTACCTGCCATTAACCAAAGTAACCAAATACATAATGTACCTGCCATTAACCAAAGTAACCAAATACATAATGTACCTGCCATTAACCAACGTAACCAAATACATAATGTACCTGCCATTAACCAACGTAACCAAATACATAATGTACCTGCCATTAACCAACATAATCAAATACATAATGTACCTGCCATTAACCAAAGTCACCAAATACATAATGTACCTGCCATTAACCAAAGTCAACAAATACATAATGTACCTGCCATTAACCAAAGTCACCAAATACATAATGTTACTGCCATTAACCAAAGTAACCAAATACATAATGTACCTGCCATTAACTAAAGTAACCAAATACTTAATGTACCTACCATTAACCAACTTAACCAAATACTTAATGTACCTGCCATTAACCAACGTAACTAAATACATGATGTACCTGCCATTAACCAGCGTAACCAAATACTTAATGTACCTGCCATTAACCAAAGTCACCAAATACATAATGTACCTGCCATTAACCAAAGTCACAAAATACATAATGTACCTGCCATTAACCAAAGTAATCAAATACATAATGTACCTGCCATTAACCAAAGTAACCAAATACTTAATGTACCTGCCATTAACCAACGTCACCAAATACTTAATGTACCTGCCATTAACCAACGTCACCAAATACATAATGTACCTGCCATTAACCAAAGTAACCAAATACATAATGTACCTGCCATTAACCAAAGTAACCAAATACATAATGTACCTGCCATTAACCAACGTCACCAAATACATAATGTACCTGCCATTAACCAAAGTCACCAAATACATAATGTACCTACCATTAACCAAAGTCACCAAATACATAATGTACCTGCCATTAACCAACTTAACCAAATACTTAATGTACCTGCTATTAACCAACGTCATCAAATACATAATGTACCTGCCATTAACCAAAGTAACCAAATACATAATGTACCTGCCATTAACCAATGTAACCAAATACATAATGTACCTACCATTAACCAAAGTAAGCAAATACATAATGTATCTGCCATTAACCAAAGTCACCAAATACATAATGTACCTGCCATTAACCAAAGTAACCAAATACATAATGTACCTGCCATTAACCAACGTC